TTTAATTTAAAAATGAATCCTTAAGTGCTGGAGAGATGACTCAGTAGCTAAGAGCACTAGCCATTCTTCCAGAGGACCCAGGTTCAGTTCCCAGCACTCAAATGGTGGCTAGCAATGGTTCAAAATTCCAGTTCCAGGGGATCTAATGTACTCTTCTGGTCTCTGTGGCCTGTGTGCCCTTGCTTATATGCAGGCAAAATATTATACACAATAAATAAATATTGTTAAAGTTGAAAATAAAATAAATGTCCATCAAAAGAAAATGTTCCAAGAGCCTTTAAATGGTTTTACTGTTTTAACTGTGTATTGTTACTGTATCAAGTATCAGCCATTAATAGCTACATTTGTCACCAGACTGCTTTTTCTTTTGATACTGTTTTTCCATTGCATTGTATTTTTGTCAGAAACTGTAGAAATTAACTGTAAGGTAAAACTTTTGAGTAATTGTGTAGGTATCATTGAAAAAACGATTTCTCTTTTGGGAGCAGAAGATATTTATAGAAGAAATGTGGAGTTGCATAAGGGGGGGGCTCTTTTCCCAATTTAAATTTGTAATATAAATGTTTGAGCCATTTTATCCTTAAATACTTTTTCTCTAATAATATCTATTCAAAAATAACTCAAAACCATAACTAAAACTGGAGCAGGGAGTGGATATGATCACCATATGTACGTCTATGAAATTTTCAAAGGGCACATTTTCCAATCAATGATTCTCACCACACAGCACAAAGTTGCAGTTTATTTATTTCCATAAAATAACCAGGTAACCTTGGAGAAAGTGCAGTTTCTGAGCATAGAATGAGATTATACTTACAGTATCTTGATACTAGAGAAACAGGAGGGGCAAGATGTGTAGCTCAGTGATAGAGCACTTTTTAGCATATCTGAGGTTCTGAATTGGTGCTCATCAGCATCAAATAAAAGAAAACAAAAGAAGCAAGCAGAAACACATCAATCAAAATTAAGGTAGTTCAGAGGACATAGAGACTTTATTTAGTATATGTAAAGAAATCTGAAGAGAGGTTGAAATCTGGGATGGCTTGAGCTTCCCAGGAACGCCAGCTAGCGGATTAATGAGCATTAATAATTAATGAATGTGTTTAAATCCATGAGATCTTTGGAAATCTCTAAAGCTTCTAATCAAATATCTTCATCTTTGGAGCACGAAAGTAAAATTATAGAAGACAGTTATTTATTAAGGCTTTTATTTAATATCTTAGTATTTAACCCAGTAGTGAATTCATGAAATTTTACTTTATGGAAGTATGATTCATAACACAATAAATTTAATGCTAAAATTAAAAAATGAACACTTGAAAGTATTTGGGAAGTTACTCAATCCCTGCATTGATTGTCAGTGTTCAAGACAGCAAAGTCAGGCAGTGAAAATGGAACCCCCGATTGACAAACGTGTTAGCACCTGTGCAGAAGAAATTGAAATGGGTTGTATCAGCAGGCTGCTTTTCACATCCAACTTCTTTCCTAGTAGTAAAAGAGACATGGAAGTGTATTCAAAGGCATTATGAGGTTATTATGGGCAATAATCATATTCTGAAGACTCTAAGTGGTTTTATGCATGTATTTGTATGTGTATATACAATTCATGTGCGTGCACATTCATGTAGAGACCACAGGACAACCTCAAATGTCAATCTTCAAACATTGTCAACATTGCTTTTGAGACAAGGTCTCTCAGTGTCCTGAAACTGGTCAACTAGGCTACACTTGCTGACCAAGGAGCCAAGAGGTCTGCCTGTCTGTGTCTCTAAAGCACTGAGATTACAAATGTTCACCACCATACCATGTAGCTAGTTTTTTGTTTTTTGTTTTTTTCTTTTTTAAAAAATATTTTATTTATATATTATTTTTATTTTATGTGTATACATACATTGCCTGCATGTAGGTAAGTGCACCCATGCCGTGCAATGCCCGAGGAGGACAGAAGAAGCTGTTGGATCCTCTGGAACTAGAGTTATGGACAGTTGTTACCTGCCATCTGGGTGCTGGGATTCAAACCCAGGTCATCTATAAGAACAGCCAGTTTTCTTAACCACTGAGCCATCACTCCAGCCCCAAAGAGAATAATGAGTACTTGTGAGAATGTAATAAATTGTTTTTGGTCTTTTTGAAACAAGGTCTCCCTATAGCCTGAGCTGGCCTGGAACTCCCTATGTAGACCAGGCTGGCCTTGAATTCACAGAGATCTGCCTGCCTCTGCCTCCCAAGTGCTGAGATTAAAAGCATGTGCCACTACACCTGGCCTTTATTTATTTTACGTGTATGAGTGCCTGCATGTAAGTGTACTGTGTGCGTGCAATGCCCACAGAGGCCAAAGAGGGCATCGGATCCCCTGGAAATGCTGGAAATGGAGTTACAGACAGTTGTTAGCCACCGTGTGGGTGTTGTGAACCAAACCCAGGTCCTCTGCAAGAATAGACAGTGCTTTTAACTGCTGAGAGATCTCCAGCCTCTTAGATGGATTCTTTTTTTTTTTTTGAGACAGGGTCTTCCTGTAACCCCAGCTGGCCTGGAACTCACTATGTAGACCAGGCTGGCCTTGAACTCACACACAGAGATCCACCTGCCTCTTCTTCCCAAGTGCTGGGACTAAAGGTGAGGGCCACCACACCCAGCATTATTTGTTTTCTTATGTGAGTTCAGGGAATTCAACTCATGTCCTTGGCCTTGGCCTTCAAAGTCAACTACCGTTCTGAATGAGCAATCTCCTCAATCACGTAAATTAGGCTTTCTTTTAAATGATAAAATTATTGCAGCAAATCAAAGGTAGAGCGAAGTAGAATCAAAAGACTGTGATTTAAGGTGAAATCAAATAATTGTATGTGCCTTATATGGTTCTTAATTCAAATAATTGTAAAATAATAATTTATAAAAGTAGACAATTGAATAAATTCAAATATTAGATATTTCATGAGATAAAAGGGTCATTAATTTTGGTGTGATAATGGTATTGTATTGGTGCTTTAAAAAAAAACCCTTTTCCTTTAAAACATTTGATGCAATAATCATAAAATATATGACACATTACATTGATTTTCAATAACCCAGATGAAAAGAATGCTGACAAATTGACACATTTATCATGTATGATGGCTGTTAAACCTGAGTGATATGTTACTCTTCCCTCTATTTTTGTGTATGTTGAAATATTTCTATAATATTAATTTCTAAAATATCTTTTCCTTTAAAACATTTGATGCAATAATCATAAAATATATGACACATTACATTGATTTTCAATAACCCAGATGAAAAGAATGCTGACAAATTGACACATTTATCATGTATGATGGCTGTTAAACCTGAGTGATATGTTACTCTTCCCTCTATTTTTGTGTATGTTGAAATATTTCTATAATATTAATTTCTAAAATATAGAAAATAAAGAAGCAAATTAAAAAAAAAAAAAAAAAAACAACTCCTTCCCTGCTCAATTGATGCTCAGTCTTTTTATTGGTACCATAATTCCAAGGACCCACTTTGGAAATCAAAAGTAGTAACATCACTGTGTCCTTTCTAAAGGCCAAACTTGTAGAAATTTGTGAGCTGAAGGACTACCAAAGTAATAATAGATGCAGTAATTTATTTCGTTGCGTGTTGGAGCTACCCATCTGAGCCTAGGTTGTGTGCAGTCGGTTTTCAGTATGTTTTGGGCATGCCTGGAGGACTGGTGATGGTAAGAGAGCACTTAACAACGTTCTAGAAACTGAGGAACCAAAGGAGAGGAGAGAGTGAAAGAAGAAGCATTCTCAGAGAATGAAGGGGGCGGAAGTTTAGCTTGAAGACCTTGGGCCAGAGGGAAGTGAGTAATTCAGAGTATCACAGGAAATTTGCTTGCAATTCCTGCAGAGTCCCAGCAGGAGACTGCCATGAAAGAGCAAGTCAAAGCTGGTCCTGGTTGACTCAGTCTCCAGGAGGGAGCATCTGCGGCCTCAACATCCAGGCTTCTAGTGACTTTGGTTCTGAGGGCATGTGTTCTTGCCACCAGCATGGGGGTGGGGGGTAGCACCTTGGCAAGCACTGGCAGTGTTAAGAGCAGTACTGCAGGTGGATTTTGGCAACCTTGCTGCCCTTTGGGCATCTACAATGACCAGATGGGACTAGAGGAGTTTGAGAAGAGCAGTGTAGAGAAATCAGCAAATATTGTTTAGAGAACAATTTTGTTTTGTTTTTTGTTTTTATGTGTATGAGTGTATTGCATCCATGTGTGTAAGTGTGCCCATATTGTGCAATGCCGGAGGAGGTCAGAAGAGGGTGTTTGATTCCCTGGATCTGGAGTTACAGATGGTTTTCCTTTTTTTTTTTTTTTTTTTTTCGTCTTTTTGAGACAGGGTTTCCCTGTAGCTCCAGCTGTCCTGGAACTCACTATGTAGACCAGGCTGGCCTTGAACTCAGAGATCCACCTGCCTCTGCCTCCCGAGTGCTGGGATTAAAAGCGTGCACCACCACACCAGCTATTTATTTTTATTTTATGTGTATGAGTGTTTTGCCTGCATGTATGTAAAGACCAAGAGAGGCCAGAGGAGGGCGTCAGATTCCCTGGAACTGGAGTTACAGATGGTTGTTAGCTGCCATGTGGGTGCTGGGAACTGTGTTCTTAACCCCTGGAGTCATTTCTCCAGACCCTCAAGCCCAACATTTTTAACTTTGGGAAGAGGGAAGAGCCAGTACTTTGTACAAAGATTTATTGGGGGTGACTCCATAAAGTACTCTAGGAATGGAATCCTGGGGGGTCAAGGAGACAGGACCCATGGGATGGTGCAAGGAGGTGCTGTCAGGCTGGGGCAAGGACCTTAGTGTTATCAAGTACAAAACTATCCACATCTGGTCTGAAACTGCACAGAAGGACTGGGTTTAAAATGAGGTTGCATGGATGAGCAACCTTTGATCCATGAGAGTCACATGGATGAGCATGAGTGTTTGGGTGGTTCCTAGAGGCATGAGAATGTCCTGACTGGAGTTTCCACGTGGGCATCTGCCTAGGTCTTCCAGAAGACAATGCTGGTGATGACAGAGGAGACCAGGAAAAGCAGGTCCAGAGGAGTAGGGTGTCTATCAGGTGTCTGAACTGCACCCACAGCCCCACCAAGGGCTGCTTCTGAGCCTCCAGCTCCCTCTGGGCCCTTACTAATTTAGGGTACTCACTTGGCAACCTCAGACCTGTGGGAGGATGGAAACTCAGAGCTGGGCTAGGAAGGCCGTCCAGGGAGAGAGGGAATCAAGGAAAGAGGCAGCAATAGAGAAGAGGAAGGAAAGGAAGAGGATGTAGAAGTGCTGACCGCCCTCACATGGTAGGTGGGTTGGGGGTGAGACCTTGCCCCATATTCCTTTGGTGGGAACCAAGGGGACAATATTTCTTTGAGTTGAGGCAATACATGAGCAGCAAGGACTGGAACCAGTGAGTCACAGATGGGAGCTGAGGGTGGCCAGGTATAGCAGATAGGTGATGAAGATAGTCTCCAGCAGGTTGGCCACCATCAGAGGTAAATAAACATGGTCAGTGGGTGCCAGCCTCCCCTCGGCCTGAACTCCGCTGCCTCGGGGAGACCGTTGCGCACCGGTCCCCATAGCAGAAGGTCAGGGTGAGGAGAGAGACCGGTGGGGGGGGGGGGGAAGGGAGACCGGTGGGGGGTGGGGGGAGGGGGGTCTCTGGAGGCAATGAGTACGACAGGAAGAAAACACCTGGGAGGCTGTGTCAGTGGACAGCTCGTTTATTATGGTGGAAGCAGAGGTTTATATAGGAAAGCTTCTCAGGTGATGAGGTGGGTTAGTTTTCTGGCAGGCCAGCAGGTAGGGGGAGGGAGAGGACTTCTAAGGCTGTCCTACAAAGGACCCGGTTAGGATTAAAGGATTAGAGACTTAATAGTTTGGCCTGGGGGTTGTTGGATAAGAGACAGCAGGCCAGCTTCCTGCTATCCTCACTAGGAGGTGTCTGACCTGGTGGCCATGCTCTACATTCCAGGCACTTTTGACTTATCCCAACACATGGGGTGTGGTGACACACACCTTTGATCCCCACAGGGGCAGAGACAAGCAAATCTCTGTGAGTTTGAGGCCGGCTTAGTCTACATATCAAGTGCCAGATCAACCAGGGCTACACAGTGAGACCCTGTCTCAAAACAAACAACAAAAAGAAAAATGGGCAGATTTATCTCTAAATCTTTCTTGAGCCTCTTTCCCAAATCCAGGATTTCCTCAGAAGCCCTTTCCTCCCTCAGTGGAGTGGTGCCCTGCTGTCTTTGCAGCTTCAGAAAGTTAGACTGGCAATACTGACAGGGAAGGGGGCACACTGAAGAGGAGTAAATTGTTCCTCATGAGCAGGAAATTGTTGTAGTCCAACTGGAGGGTCATCTGGAAGAGGGCACGGCTCTCATTTTCTGCTGATGGCCACCAGAAAGCTACTGGGCACTAGGAGATGTGTCACATAGCACCTGGGCTGCATCGATGGCCACCTGATGGGAAGGAAAGCAAGGGTCAAATCAATGGTTGATAGGCTACCACACCAGGTAAGAGCAAAAGGGATCTGTACCAGACTGGATTGTCAAATAAGGAAGCCACATGCCCCTCTCACTGTGCTCTCTCCATCCAAAGGATCACAGGATTTGAGTCAACCATGCTGCTTCCTACACAGTCACATTTCATTTCCTCTTGCTCAAGTGTCAGCTTTCTCCACTGAAGCTTATGTCTTACCACACGGTTCTTAGAAAGACTCTTGGAGCAGATACCTAGGAACCATGTACATTTTACCTTTTATTTCAGCTTATCCTTTCAAGGTCTACTCTCCAGTGATTTTGTAGATAAGATAGTTAAGGAAAAGTAGACAGTGACAGATATTCAGAGTTTGTTGGAAATTGGAATCATGTACCTAAGACAGTGTTTTGGGGCTCAGTGGTTAAGAGCACCGGCTGGTTCCCAGCACCCGCAGGGTGGTCAAAAATCATCCATAACTCCAGTTTCAGGGGATCTGACGCCCTTTTCTGACTTCCAAGGGCATTGCACAACATGGGTGAACTTATATACATGCTGACAATATACTCATACACATAAGAAATAATGATAAATAGGGGCTGGAGAGATGGCTCAGCGGTTAAGAACACTGTTCTTGCAGAAGACCCAGGTTTGAATCCCAGCACCCACATGGCAGCTAACAACTGTCTGTAACTACAGTTCCAGAGGATCTGACAGCCTCTTCTGTCCTCCACGGGCTTTGTACGACACAGGTGCACTTACTTACATGCAGGCATAACACTCATACACATTAAATAAAAATAAATACAATATTTTTTTAAAAAAGAATGATTTAAAAAAAAGACATTGTTGGGGCTAGAGAGATGGCTCAGTGGTTAAGAGCACTGGCTACTCTTGCAAAAACCCAAGTTCAAATCTTAGCATCACATGATGGTTAACAACCATCCATAACTCCAGTTCCAGGGGATCCAACACCCTCTTCTGACCTCCAAGGGCACTTCACAACATGGGTGCACTTGCATACATGCAGGCATAACATTTTTTTAAAAAAAGACAGTGCATTTTTGTTTGTCTTTTGTGTTTTTTTGTTGGGTTTTCTTTTTGGTCTTTTTGAGACAAGGTCTCCCCATAGCTCCAGCTGGCCTAGAACTCGCTATGGAGACCAGGCTGGCCTCGATCTTACAGAGATCCATCTGCCTCCACCTCCTGAGTGAGCCACCATGCCCAGCTTAAGACAGTGTTTTATAATTTTTTTCCATCATACCCTTATAAAAATAAACATCAAAATTCTTGTCCAGCTGGGCATGATGGCGCACACCTTTAATCCCACCACTCAGGAGGGCAGAGGCAGGTAGATGTTTCTGAGATCAAGGCCAGCCTGATTTTTGGTCTACATAGCAATTTCCAGGTCAGCTAGGGCTATAGGGAGATCCTGTCTTAAAAATAAAAAGAGCAGGACTGGACAGATGGCTCAGCAGTTAAGAACACTGGTTGCTCTTGCAGAAGACCCGGGTTCAAATCCCAGCACCCACATGGCAGCTAACAACTGTCTGTAACTCCAGTCCCAGCGGATCCGACAGTCTCTTCTGTCCTCTGTGGGCATTGCACAACATGGGTACACCTACCTACATGCAGGCAATATGTGCATATACATAAAATTAAAAAAAAATAAAAAGCAAACATTTCTGCCCTTTGAAAAGTTCTGATAGTGTTTAAGATGACAGGCTCACTTCCACTGTGAGTCACTGACTTGGAAGCTTTTTGTTTTTCTCCAGAGACAATGAATCCAATGACTATTTACTGAGTATTGTTCTCATACTGGATATTTACCAGTAACAAATGTAATTCCTACCCCTCCTTGGAGCTTGCATTCTAGCAGAGGACATAAACTTTGAATCTTCTTTGAAGATTATAACCAGGACCTGAGCCCACTGAAAATGATTTGGTCCTCCTGGTTGGTGGCCATGGTCATCTTCACTGCTCTCTGGAGGATCCCTGGAAAGCCCTCCTCTCTCTTGTTCCAAATGAGGTTCTGTGATGCATTTGAAAGGTCATAAAGTTCTTTTACCCAGCACCACGTTCTCTACTGAAAGAGCTCCCAACAGTTCAGTCTTCACATGTGCTTCTGAGCTCCTTGCGTGCACGGTTGGATGACTCAGTGTCAGTTTCTGGACACTTTTCAGAACCTGTACCCAACATTCAATCATCTTTTCACACAAAACCCTTTCTCTGTCACTCTCTTTTTTTTTTTCTTTTGAGGCAGGGTCTCCCCGCAGCCCCTGCTGGCCTGGAACTCACTATGGAGACCAGGCTAGCCTTGAACTCACAGAGATCCACCTGCCTCTGCCTCCCAAGTGCTGGGATTAAAGGCATGGGCCACCACGCCCAGCCTCTGTCTCTTTTTAAAAAAATTTTTTTATGAGAATTTCATACATGAGCACTGTATTTACATTACCCCGCCGTGCCCTCTCTGCCCTCCAACTCTTCCCATGCACCCCCACTCCCTCTCAGCTTTCTGACCTCTTCCTCACGTTTATTGTTACACACACATACAAATATATGTGTATATATACACATATATATAATATACTGAGTCCATTTAGTGGTGCTTTTGTGTCCATATGTTTAGGGATGACCACCAGAATTTGATAACCCATCAGAGAGCTCATCCCCGGAGAAAAACAATTCTGCCTCTCTCAGCAGCCACTGATTGCCTGTAGCTCTTCATCTTGAGGTGGGACCTTGTGAAATTTCCCCCATTCATGTTGACATGTCAACTGGTGTTGTCATTATGCAGGTCTTGTTTAAGCAACAAAGTGCCAAGGGAGAAAACCAATCAATGGTCTACCCAGCTGCAAGTCCAGGGAACCACAATGCCTGGCCAGCAAAATATCCCTATTGGGGAAACAGTGGCATGTTATCTTGGAGGTAATCAAGAGCTACCTAATTGGACTTAAGGTCTGCCCAACAGGAAGGAATCCATGCCCAGCACTGTAAACATTGCCAAATACCCATTGCTGGAGCCATTACAGACCCTAGAGGAGACCCTACTACGGTTACTTTCCCAAATCAATACAATTTCTAACTATATTCTAAATATCTCTCCTATACTCACAGATTCTTTTTGCAATAGATGGAGCGTATTACAGAAATATACAACTGGTCAAAATATAGAAAGTAAGCTACCATGGTATGCCTAGCCACAATTGATATTTTATTATTTTTATTTTTTATGTATATGTATTTCACCTGCATGCATGTAAGTGTACTTGTGTTGTGCAATGCCTGCAGAAGAAAGTGTCAGATCCCCTAGAACTGGAATTACAGGCAGTTTTTAGCTGCTATGTGGGTGCTGGGAAACAAATCTGGGTCTTCTGTAAGAGTAGCCAGTGCTCTTATCCACTGAGCCTTTTCTCCAGCCCCCACCCCCTCACCCCAACCATATCTGAAGCATCTACAGTGCAACCCTACACCTAAGTCTCAGGGACTTCTACCACATGGGACGGCAGCCCTGACTTCAGGTTCCTGCCTTGACTTTCCTCAGTGACTGAAGTATAATCCTTTCCTCCCCTAAGTGGGCATGATTGCTGCCATGGCAACAGAAAAGCAACTAGAAAAAAGGTGTCTCAGCTTTAGCCAGTGTAATTTGAGGTCAGAGCCAGGTGTGGAAAAGGGGAGGTACCAGAGGAAAACAAAAGGGGTACAGTCCTCTGTCACATCATGTTCACGAGGATGATGCTTTCTCAGGATCGTTAACCTCAAAGCAGGTCCAAGGCTGCATTTCCTCCCAACTCAGGACGTAGTTAGGCTAATTCAGGGTTCACAGGAAATGTAAGTGAACCTCCAGTTGTAAGGCTCACTGGAAATGTTTCTTATGGAGTATTTTAAAAAGGAACAGACTTTACCTACTGTGATGTCCTTGTAACATTCAGTCATGTCTCTTCACCACGGAAAATGAAACTCCAATTTAAAAATCTTTTTCAAAATATTTTTTTCCCATTTTTTGTGATAAAATAGACACAGCAGCCAGGCCTGATGGTACACACCTTTAATCCGAACACTCAAGAAGAGGAAGCAGGTGGATCTCTGTGAATTCAAGACCAGCGTGGTCTATGTAGTGGGTTCCAGGTCAGCTGGGACTACAGGGAGGCCCTATCTCAAAAAAGACCAAAAAAGGGGCTGGAGAGATGGCTCAGTGGTTAAGAACACTGGTTGTTCTTGCAGAAGACTCAGGTTCGAATCCCAGACCCACATGGCAGCTAACAACTGTCTGTAATTCCAGTCCCAGGGGATCCGACAGCCTCTTCTGACCTCTGCCAGCATTGCACAAATGGGTGCACTTACCTACACATGGGCAATACATGCATATACATAAAATAAAAATAACGAGGGGCTGGAGAGATAGCTTAGCAGTTAAGAGCAAGGACTGCTCCAGCAGCGGACCCAGGTTTCATTCCCAGCACCCATATGGTGGCTACAAACCATCCTTAACTCCAGTTCCAGGGGAATCCAAAGCCCTCTTCTGATCTCTGTGGCATTGCACGACACAGGTGAACTCACATACATGCAGGCAATACACTTACACATATAAAATAAAAATAATCAATAAAATATTTAAAGAAAAATAAAAATAATAAATAAAATTTTTTAAGTTAAAAAAAAGACCCCAAAAAAAGTAACAAAAAAGAAAAAAAAATACAACAAAATCTGCTCTCTTAACAATTTCAAGTGTACAGTGTAGTATCATTAAGAACAATCAGGCTCTTGGGACCTTGCAAATATGAACCTACAGCAATGGTGTCAGCATGTACAAGACCCATGCAAACTCAAGCAGACAGAAACCCAGCATAGAACTGTGGAAATGGGCAGCAGACCCCCTACATTAACTGAAAAATTATTGAACAGCTCATTACTACTGGGTGAAAAAGAGCTGATCTTCT